GAACGACGCTAACTCCCAAGTCGCGGCTCACCGGAAGGGACCCAACCACATTCAAGTTTGACAAGGCAGAAATTTTTGGAAGAAGCGACAACTGCTTGAGCTGCGAACTACTCGAGTCATAGTTTCCCGGTCCTCAATCAATTAGTAAGCGCAACGACGTCCAACTCCATATTCGGCACTGAGACTTTGCCTAAGCAAAATAGTTAGCCGCAAGGAGAGCGTGCGAATAACCACTGTATTTATTGTCAATGTCGGCGAGCCAAATTGCCCAAGAGTCCACACGGATGACGAAATCCGACAGTCAGCAACTCGACTGTGTGCGATGAGCGTGGGAGCCGATAATCTTGATCGGCATACAGGCGCGTAGCAACTGCATGCCTCAACACCTGGCCAGTCGAGTCCTGATTCACTTGGGAGCTGCCAACTGCGATAGGCAACTACATCCTGTAAATACTGTCAACACCTGGGCAATCCACTACCCTCATCTGACTCTGTCTCTGATGGTGGATTCGAGTGAGAATCCGAAACGTCTGGCTAATAAAGCCCTTGTTCCTGCGATCGTGTTTCCTTCTTCGCGACTACTTCCTGGTACTCGTCTTTCCACTTCTATTAGCATGAGACTATTCTGTCAATTGGTTTATTTGCGTTTTCTATGCCGCCGCGCACCTATCAAAATTGGCGGTTCCTCTGTTCAGTGTAGGTGATGCGGTAGTTACTTGATTGCACGCAGCCGAGTCGTTAATTGCCGAAATTTCGTCACCTGGACCATTTGGCTCACTGGCACTGGGAGCAGTCCTCACCTGTGCGCTCTCCGCGTGACTAATTGTCATGCCCAAGCGAAGTCACTGCGCAAAATGTGGAAGGTGAAGGTCACTGTGTTTGCCCCTCTCCGCTTTAAACTTGGAGAATTTGTGGAACGTGCGTCTCAATACATCCCAAGTTTATAATTCCCCTCATTGCTGTTGGTTAGTTTCACCAACTACCTCATGATGAGGAATGATGACTGTTTGGAGATGTCGGACAGTACAAATAAAGCTGAGCACTTTTCTCAGTTTTTTCAATCCGTTTTCACAAGAGAAGCAGACTTTATTCCATCTAGTTCTGAGAACATGGAAGATCCCACCATCGAAAATATTGTGTTTCGAGATGAAGCGATTTTGGGAAAACTAAAAAGCTTGAAGGAATGTAAAATATCCCGGTCCGGACGAGATTCCAGCAAAGCTGCTCTTTGAGCTCGCCCGATAGCTGGCCAAACCACTATCCTTTCTGTGCCAGAGATCGTTTGATGCTGGAATCCTTCCCACAGACTGGAAGACGGCCCACATTACACCCCTTTACAAAAGCGGTAGTGTGCTCTTGCGACAAACTACAAACCCGTCAGTCTGCTGCAAAGTGATGGAGAAAACCATAAAAAAGGAGTTGATGGCTAATCTGGAAACCCACAACCTCTTGTCCAATGCACAATACGGTTTCCGTAGAGGAAGATCATGTGTAACGAACTTGCTATATACAATGCAAAGTTGGTCAAGAGCACTGGACACAAAACACACTGTGCATGTGGCCTATATTGATTTCCGGAAGGCGTTCGACAGTGCCCCGCACCAGCGTTTTTTGTACAAGTTGAGAGTAATGCGCATCGGCGGCAAACTTCTCAAATGGATTGGGAATTGCCTCGTCGGCCGTTACCAATTTGTCTGCGTGGAAAGACAGCAATCAAGACGCACATTCATAGAGAGTGGAGTCCCACAAGGCTCAGTGCTCGAACCAACCCTCTTTCTCTTGTTCATTAATGATTGTGTAGATGCGTTGGACTGTGATAGTGCCATGTTTGCGGATGACATAAAAATCTGGAAAGTCATCCAGAATGCTGCCGATGAAACCAACTTCCAAGAAAATCTTTGTCGATTGGACGAGTGGTCCTGCAGATGGCTCTTGTCCTTCAATTTGAACAAATGTACCATACTGCGCCTCGGAAATCAGACCTGTAGTACGTGGAAATACCATCTGAACGGAATGCCACTCCGAGAAGCAGAAATGCAGAAAGATCTCGGAGTCTGGGTTGCAGACAGCCTAAAGCCTTCTAAACAATGTTGTAAGGCGGCCAAGACCGCAACTTCAATGCTATATGCCATCAAGCGGGCATTCGCGGTTTTCGATGAGACTGCTTCTCCAAAGTCTTCGGCACGTTTTTAAGATCGCATTTCGAGTATACAATCCGGGCCTGAAGACCGTGGATGCAGCAAGATTGCAGTTTACTAGAAAGGGTGCAGAGGCGAGCAACAAAATTAATAAGAGGTCACTGTGCATTGCCATACGAGATCCGCTTAACTAACCTTAAACTCTATCCTCTGAGTTATAGGCAGTTGCGCGGAAACTTGATACAAACTTTCCGTATCGTTCGTGTCTTGGACTGCGCCCTTCGGTCTGATGACTTTTTCCAACTCGCCACAACAACTAACCTCCGGGGACATCCCTTCAAGCTGTGTGCCCCAGGGTAGATTGAATGTGAGAAAATATTTCTTCTTAAAGCGTGTCGTGGAACCGTGGAATAACCGGCCCGAGACGACTGTTATGTCTCAATCTGTGGAGACATTTAAATGTCGGCTTGAGAGACCTATGCTGCAGCAACAAGCGGACTATGTGACTTTCTAGCCATGAGACCAGTAACATATGTGAATCAATGTCTGCTGTAATTTCTTCACATTTTTGCCTCTTTATCGATTTTTTATGTACAAATAGGGAGTTGAAAGGCGTAAGTCTATTTCCCTCACATACACTGACTGACTGATCATATTGCTTAACAGCCTCAAAAGCCGGCGGTGGACGATGCGCATACTTTTGCAGGAAGATACGAAGTAACCTGAAGAGTTGGCAGGGTGCGTTTTGCGGTCACAAATAGCCTAGGCGGTTGGGCGAGTTTTAGAAAGCAGTCCAGAAGAAGATGCGACCGCTGGAACAAGAAGCTTATTAGCTTGACGTTTCGGATCCTCGCTCAAAACCATCATCAGAAACAGTCGCAGGAGACGCAAGGAGCGCAGTTGCCGTGCGACCACATTTGACGCTAGAATGGCCTGCTATTCGGCACCCGAAGCGTTAATGGCCATGGTGTCATCACTGTTGTTGATACCCGGCGTGATAAGTCCTCCGCTGTTGGCCTCGCTGTTACTCGAACTGTTGGTTGCCCGCGCCCTCCCCGCGTGGCTAATTATTTTGTCCAGATAGCAGAGAATATAGCAACGGTAGGGTGAAAGACCCCACTTAACTGTCGGTAGACTGGGGATTGTGTCCTACGAGAATGGTGGTAATGGGAGTTTCATGGGTAAGGCAGCGCGCCAGGCAGTAAGTTGACGAAATGCAATAAAATACAGGAATTTTCGCGACTTCTGCCAAAATTCTTATCGAGCGCTTTGGTATGCCATCGGAGATGAACGTGTTAATTATGAAAAACGGAGCTTGATTAATGGTTGAGGTCTTGGGAAGTAATTGTTGTTGACAGTGTAAAGTCTTCAACGGCCTGAAAATGAATGCCAAGATACAACCCCATATGGATCTATCCACAGTCTACCTACAGTTAAGTGGTGGTAGAGGGACGCTCACCGATCGTTCTTACGGAACCCACTTGTTCCGTTGTGCCTTACGAGCTCTCTCTCGAGCGCAACCAGCAGCCGCACAGCGGCGCATGATATAGGCAGAATAATATTACCGACAGTCTCCAGTCTCCCTTGTCTTTGTCGGTAATATCAGTCTGCTTATTAGCCGTCGTCAGTCCGTCATACCTAACCCCGAAGTGTGGAACACCTGGGGCTCGATCCCGCGACCTGTTAATTAGAAGTCCAACGCCTCTAACCACTGAGCCACGGGCTCGCCGTCCTGTCGGTTTAAGTGGTCATTCACCCTATCGTTGCAGAACTAGAGTGTAAAAAATCAGTGCAAACTGTATACAGTGGGAGGGCATCCAGCATGAGTTAAATTGCATTTGAAATATATGAAGGTTTTGCTGGGTTTGAGGGTGTTCCTGTCCGGACAAGCTTGAGAAGAAGAAGAAGAAGAAGAAGAAGAAGAAGAAGAAGATGATGATGATGATGATGATGATGATGATGATGATGATGATGATGATGATGATGATGATGATGATGATGATGATGCGATCGTTGGGGAAAGAAGTTTATTGGCCTAATGTTTCGGATTCCCACTCGAAATCATCATCAAACAGCCACAGAAAGGAGTTTGAGTGGTACAAGAAGAGCAATATTTATAGGATACATTCTCGCGGCAATAAGTGGCCTACAAAAATTGCCTGAAATAATTAGCAGTACCCACGTTCATCTCTGAGGTCCGTCGATAATGGCTTGTTAGTCCGCAACCGAGTCTTTAATTGCCTAAATGTAATCATCACTATGTCTTCTTGGTGTGATAATTACTCGACCGTCTGGCTCGCTGCCATTTGAATTTTCGGTCGCCCTCGCGCTCTCGGGTGGCTAATTATTTCGCCCAGGCAAGGTCTCGGCACGGGATTAGCGACTCGGGTGTGGACTAAGAAGCCACCGATGCATCAAATATGACCCCAAAACAATGAACGCAACTGTGAGTGTGGATTTACAACTTCTTGCTCCAGCGATCGCTTCTTCTGCCTCCTGCTCTGGTGTATTTTCTGGTAAGATCGCAATTGGTAGCCAGACACTATTCGTTGATATTGCCGACGTATGTACTTGTTATCAATAGGTGCTCAGAAGTAACCGTCTGAGACGCTGATGTGCTCATAAAGGATTACACGAATCTGTATTCATATGACAGATTTTGTTTTTGATGAAGCTGAAAAAGTGCATTAGAGTGGGTCACCATGCCAAGTTTTTCACTGTTGTGTCCCTATAAATTATTCAAAATCTGCCAAAACATCTATAAACTTTTTACCTTTTGCATTGTCAGAGTTGCGAAGGATTAAGATAAATAGGATTTCGCTTGACTTAGCAGAAGCAAAAGCTTCGTCATGGGAATAAAAGACCGCATGTTGACTGACCGGTCAGAGATTAGGACACTTGAAGGGAATTAGCAGATGTAATCATAAGCATACCATTTAGCTTGTGTCAAGAGTATTTTTCTTCCGTAAAATTGCCGTAACTTTTTCGAGACGATGCGGTTCGTCGAGTTTCAGAGCGCCCTCGCTGAAGACCTTGCAATTTTCAACTTTCAGAAGAAGAAGAAGAGGAGGAGGAGGAGGAGGAAGAAGAAGATGCGATCACTGAAGCAAGAAGTTTATTGACCTGACGTTTCGGATTCTCACTCGAACCTATCATCAGAGACGGTTGCAGATAAAGGCAGGGGAGACGCAAAGACTGCAGTATTTATAGTACGTATCTGTCGTGGGCTCACATGCGTACTATAATTGACAGCTCTCGTGATCACCGCTGGGGGTCGTAATTGATGCGATGACGGCTCGCCAGTCCGGGTGCGAGTCGTTACTTGCCGCAATTTCATCATCCGTGTTGGATACTGCCGTGATTATTACTCGATCATTTTTCCCGCTGTCACCGGGACTGTTCCTCGCACGCGCCTCCCCCACGGGATGAGACTTGGTGTTGAATAAGACGATTAAAAACTCGGCGACATCAACGATTTTATCAGTCACAGCTGTTTGACCACGTGCTCGTCAATAAGCGTGCAAGCTCCGACGAGTTCGTGCCAAGGGGGGATTAAGGTACTGACAGTTGGATCGACCATCGCTTTGCCTTCTCGAAGCCAAAACTACAAATCCAATCGAGTGTATGGTCTCTGAGAGCAAACATCAACGAAACCGAATGCAGCCAGCATTGTAACTGGCCGAACGCAGGCGGAAGTTACTCATCAGCCAGGGCTACGTTCAAATCCCTGAGGAAGAGTACTCTACAGACCTTCGGGTGAGATCACTGGAAGCCATCCACGCCACTGCTACTGACCTTCTAGGATCATGGTGCCATGTTTCGAGATCCTTATATCTGGCGTTTCAACCGATGTGCGACGGATTCCGCCTAGTCGTCAACTGCTGGACAACCATTACGAAACTTGCATGAGAAATGAGGTGGACAACCCCGACTATCTACTGGGAACAGCGACTTACTGTTCACCTCCAACGTTCGCAAATGCACAGCGAGCGCAGCTACTCAAAGTCACAGACAACTTATAGACGCAGCCTGGTAATCACCAGGGGCTTCCTATTTACTCAGTCAAAAACAGAACCTGCTTGTGTTAAACCGGCTACCAGATCACATCGATGAATGCTAATCTCCTGTGCCGAAAGATGCAAACAGACGAGTTCCAGGAAGCAGTTCAGAAGAAGATGTGATCACCGGGACAAGAAGTTTATTGGCTTGGCGGCTCGAATTCTCACTCGAACCCCTCATCAGAGACGGTTCAGATAAAGGTGGTGAAGGCACAAAGACTGAAGTGTTTATAGTACGTGACTGTCGTGGGGGAGGGGGGCACATGCGTACTGTAATAAACAGCTCTCGGGATCCTGCTGGGGTTCGTAATTGAGGCGATGATGGCTCGTCAGTCCGAGTCCGAGTCGTTACCTGCCGCAATTTCATCATCCGTGTTGGATATTGACGTGATGATGACTCGACAATTCCGCTTGCTGTCATCAGGATAGTTGAGCGCCCGCGCCATCCCCACGGGATCGATTCTCCTACCCAGGGAATGTCTCAGCACCGAATATGGTACCGGGAGGTGAATGCACTTGTTGCTGCATTGCGGGCCTGAGAACCATGACTCGAGCAGCTAGCGGCTCACGCGGTTGTCAGCCCTTGCGAGGATTTCGGTCTTTTAAAACTTGAAAATACGGCCAGGTTCCGTGGCATGAGCTGCTACCTGAAAGCTGACGTCTTTCCATGTCATCGCTGATGCGTGCTCAGACATACGCGTACGGAGTAATCTCCCGGTTTCCCGGGCGTAGTTTCTCTGTCCGTAACTGCACCAGATCCGATAAACGACTGCAGATATTTTTCGGCCTCAGGCCAATAGGCTTCCTGTTCCAGTGAATCGCCTTAATTACGGCCCCCAGCGATGATCACGAGAACTGTCAATTATAGTACGCTTGAGGCCCAAAAGCAGCTACGTACTATAAATGCTGCAGTCTTTGTGCCTCTACTACCTTTATCTGCAACCGTCTCTGATGATGGGTTCGAGTGAGGGTCCGAAACGTCAGGCCAATAAACTTTATGCTCCAGTGATCGCATCATCATCATCATCATCATCATCATCATCATCATCATCATCATCATCATCATCATCATCAGCATCATCATCATCATCATCATCATCATCATCATCATCATCATCATCATCATCATCATCGTCGTCGTCATCATCATCATCATGAGCTGCTTCCTGGAACTCTGCTATTTGCTTTTATCAGCAATTTTCAACGTCCTTAGTCAACCGCCCATAAAGGTGGATGCTATGGACACGTTTATCAAAACTTCGAAATAAGATGCTTCTCCGGGCAGATTGAGCGACTCGCTTTAATAACTAACCGTTTAGAAAGCTCCTTGATGAAGTATTTCTTTGTCCGCGCACTTTGTATTTTTTTCAAGGCAAAGTGTATGAAATACCGGAAAGTTTGGCTGGCTTTTCCACCCACCCGGAAAATGCTGACAGTTTTCCAGCTTCATACGAAGGAACTCACTTTCTTCTTTGTATTGGAGCCATTTTCGCCGCCTTCGCTTACTTTCAGGCTGCGCTCAACGTACGCTTGAACAAGAGATTACCCGTAGGCGTTATTACCGCTTTTCAGAACATGGAATCAAACAGACTTGCAAGTCTGCGTCTGCCTTGTTTAATTTCCAAGGAAATTAATGCGCGAACTTGGAGTAAATCTTTCGAAACGGGCCTTTTCAGGCACGCTCCAAATTTTGATATGAATATTTGAGCTGAAATGCACCAGCTACTGCGGAATAACCGCTTAATATTCACAAACCGCCAACAGGCAGCCAGTAAATCATTGCACAAGTCTGCGTTTGCAAAATCGATAAAACGTCTGTTTTGCCAAACACCACCTGCTTGGTCACACCCTGCCTCACCTTACTTGCGCGGAAAAAATCAACTTTCAATGGTAGCAGGTTTGCGCAAACGTACTCTGGGGACGGTCATTAACGTATGAACTTACCCCAATATAAGGTGGCATTGATTTCCGTTCATATTTGTAAGCATTTCGACTGACACATTTATTTAAAAAAGGACATTGTCGGGAACGGGCTAGGCAATAAAGGAAGGTGCACTAGGTTTGAAGTACCTAGATGTGATCATCACAATTTTTGTTTTCATGCTTCATGAGCTAGGTCACATGAAGCAGGCACAGCCGCTAGCAACTACTGCTGGCAACATCTCGCATGCTGCTGATTGGGATTTATAACTTTTGAAAAATGCATGAATAGGTCCTATGTGCATTGGAAGCATAAACTACGGCGAGAACGTGGTTAGACACGGAAATAGGATCGTTCCCCGTGGTGTAGGTAGCTTTGGTCTTTCTTATAAATAAATAAAAATGGGCACTTATAAACCCAGTCTACAACTCGTATTCTCATTTCTTATGCAATTGTATTGGCCTGTTGATGAATTACTGAAATCCTGTTTGTGAATTTGACTTCCCAAGCGTAACATACTTCCGCAAGACCGAAAGAGACCAAGTTCACATCAATCATTGACCTGTAGGCACCGAAATTTCCCAGAGTTTTATCGAACATAAGGCAACGAGAACGCGATCCTAACTGCGCAATTTGGCATTCACGTCCTTGCAGAGTATAGCAGAAAAAGCGATGTGAAACATCTATGATCCTTTCTCGCCTTGAGTTGTAAAGTTTAAATTTGATTTGTGGAGCTGATAGAAGGTCCAACGAAAGTAGCATTGATTTCCACCCATAAATGTAAGCATTTCGGCTGACACATTTATTCAGAAACATACTGCGAATGCAAAAAGGACCTTTTCGGGAGCGGACTAGGCAATTAAGGAAAGTTCACTAGGTTTGAGGTGTCTCAATGTGACCAGCTCAATTTTCGTCTTTATGCTTCATAAGTTAGGTCACATAATGTAGACGCACCTGCTATTAACTACTGGTCGCATGGCGCCATCAACGCCTGGAATTCGTGACCATTGAAGAGTGCACAAGTGGGTTTTAGGTGCATTGGAGGCACAGGCTCTAGGAAAAACTTGGTTAGACACGGCAATAAGGACGTCCCTCCGCAGTATAGGTGGCCTCGAGCTTCCTTATGAACAAACAAATAGCGACGCTTATAAACCCCATAAGTGAAGAAGGAGAAGGGTGTTCGAACACCGGAATAGTTTGTTTATTGTTCTGAGCTTTCGAACTCGTGCAGGAGTCCATCCTCAGAGATAGAAGCAGCAGCAGAACAAGCGACAGTTATAGGCATGCTAGCAACTCATCGATCGATGGCGCAAGATTGGAGGTGGCTGCACAGGGCTCTGTACGCCGGCACCAGATGGATAAATCGATCGACTGGGGTCTAATTCGAGGCTCAGGCTTCAATCGATTCAGAGCCTGTTTTGTTTCCGGCGTGGGCGAATATTTTGGTGGCTGTGAGGTTAAAATCATTACCTATTTCGTAGGTGTGGGCGGCCACTTGTGATAATGCGTCGCCTAGTCGCACAGCCAGCTTAGTTTCGCATATGCGTGATCCGAGCATGCGTCCAGTCTGTCCCGTGTAGTTACAAGGGCAGTTTTGGCACGGGATGGGATACACTACTCCAGATTGCTTCTCAGACTTTGACTGGTCTTTAATTTTCATGATCCTAATGCGCAGGATGTTTTTGGGGCGGCGTGCAATCCCTACACTAAGTTCCGCAGCAATGTGCTCAATGCCAAAACTGTCCTCGTACCTACACAGGAAGGACTGGAAACATGCTCTGACTACGCATACATAAGCGTTAGCTTATATATTTCCTGATAACAAGGAGATTTCAGCCTGTGTGGCAGTCGTGGGCGCGGCTGAACCCACTTCAGCCACGCGCATTTTCAGTCTTGCCAGTGGAGCATGACGTGAATATGAAAATATATACTTCGAGTTCCAGGTATACGTAAAAGTAAAGAAGAGGAGGAGCAATCTGGAGTACTGTATCGCATCCCGTGTCAGAACTGTCCTCGTAACTACACAAGCCAGACTGGACACATGCTCGGGTCGACTATATACGATATATATACGAGGCGACGAATTATAACAATTGGCCTCCCCCACCTGCGAGATGGGTCTCGAGTTTAACTTCTTAGTCAGCAAAGTAATCGCCCACGCCGGAAACAAAGCAGACAGAGAATCGATTGAAGCCTGGGCCTCGGATGATAACTCAGTCAATCGATTTATCGATCAGGTGCCGTCGTACAGAGCCACGCTCAGTCATCTCCATTCTTGCGCCATCGATCGATGAGTTGTTTGCATGCCCTATAACTGTCGCTTGTTCTGTTGCTAATACTTTCTCTGACGATAGACTCCTGCATGAGTTCGAAAGTTCAGAACAATAAACAAACTATTCCGATGTTCGATCATCCTTCTGCTTCACTTATACATACGTCCGGAACTCAAACTTTCGAATTCATTCGCTTAAAAACTCTATCCATAACTCATATTTTCATTTTTCTCCCACCTGTATTGGCCTGTTGATGAATTACTGAAAACCTGTTTGTGAATTTGACTTCCCAAGCCTAACACACTACCAGAAGATAGAACTAGACCAAGTTCACATCAATCATTGACCTGTAGGCACTGAAATTTCCCACAGTTTTTTTAATCGAAGGTACAGTGAGTGACCGATCTCATGAAATGTTGACTGAAATTCTGAAATGCGTTTTCGACTAGGAAGGATTACTCGGTCGCGGTTGTTATACCGATTATCTTGCGGCATACTCCTATGGTATTTCGGACTTGGCAGGATGTCGGCTTTTAAATGCACTTCTTATCAATTTTCTGTAGAAAGCGTACTCGGTAAAAAAAATGACTACTTAAGTAGCATGCATTTTTCCCATTGATTTTCGGTGGTCTTGCTAATTCAAATGTATTTTTTAGAAATCATAGACAAAATATGCTTTCTTTTAGTCAATCAATTGAAAATCAAGTCTTCTTTATATTTTATACTTAGTGAAGGAGTATAATTAGGTTTTAAAAATGTTTCCTAATTGCCGAATAATTTAGAGCCTGATCATTCGTTGCATTAGCGCTTAGTGATTTCACTCTACAAGGTGCATGCGTTCCGCGTAAAGAAAATCACATATTTTTCTATGCCATTAAAGAGCTATCATACAGAGTCCATAAAATTTTGCAATGGACGCGGATCATGTTGTACATTTCATGAGGAGCAGTGGTAAAATGCCAGGCACGATGCTATGTGAATGGACATTTCGCGGTCTTAAAAAGTCTCATAATTAGAAACTTTATTTAAACCTAATTATACTCCTTCCTTAAGTAGAAAGTGTAAAGAAGACGTGATTCTCTATTGATTGACTAAACGAAAGCATATTTTTGTTTATGGTTTCCATAAAATATATTTGAATTTGCAAGACCATCGAAAATCAATGGGAAAAATGCATGCTACTTAAGTAGTCATTTTTTACCGAGTACGATTTCTACAGAAAATTAAAAAGAAGTGCATTTAAAAGCCGACATCCTGCCGAGTCCGAAATACCATAGGATTATGCCGCAAGATAATCAGTATTAGAACCGCGATCAAGTAATCCTTCCTAATCGAAAACGAATTTCAGAATTTCAGCCAAGATTTCATGAGATCGATCACTCACTGTTAGACAACGAGAACACGATTCCAGCCGCACAATTTGACATTCCCGTCCTTGCAGAGCATGGCAGAAGGAGCGATGTCAAACATCTAGAATCCTTCTTCGCCTTGAGTTTTAAAATTTAAAATTGATTTGTGGAGCTGATAGAAGGTCTGACGAAAGGAGCGTTGATTTCCGCCCATAATTGTAAGCATTTCGACTGACACATTCATTTAAAAACATACTGTGAATGCAAAAGGGACACTTTCGGGAATGGGCTGGGCCATTAAGGAAAGTGCACTAGGCTTTGGGTGTCTCAATGTGATCATCTCGATTTTTGTCTACATGCTCCATGGATCAGGCCACATAATGCGGGCGCCAGCAACGTCTCGCTTGCTGCTTACGGCGTAGGTACTCGGTGTATTGGAGATAGGCACAAACTAGTGGAAAACTCGGTTAGACACGGCAATAAGCACGTCCCCCCCCCACCACCCCCTAGTGCAGGTGGCCGAACGCTAAATTCCAGGGGAGTTAGGGTCAAGGTTAGACTAGGGTTCGTGTAGGGTTATGGCTAGGACACGAGTGAAGATGCCTTTCCCACAATTTAGCGCAAGGGCTTTCTGCAGTGCGTGGCCGATCTCATGAAATGTTGGCCGAATTCTGAAAGGCGTTTTCGATTAGGAAGGATTACATAGGTGGGATTGTAAAACTGATTACATGCGGCACAATGCTACAGTATTTCGGACTCGCCAGGATGTTGGCTTTTGAATGCACTTCTTCTCGACCTCCTGCAGAAACCACACGGTAAAAAAAATGACTACTTGTGTAGCATGCATTGTTCACATTGATTTCGGATGGCCTTATAAATTCAAATATATTTTATAGAAAATATGTACAGAATATGCTTTTTTTACTTGTTTGGTAGAAAATCACATTGTCTTCACATTTTAGATCCTAAGAAAGGTTTTCTTTAGGTTTTAAAAAGTTTCGAATTATGAATTTTTTAAGACCGTGCGATGTCCATACATACTGCATCGCACAGGTACGTTTAACAAAGCTCCTCAAGAAACTGTAAAACATGGTCCTCCTCCATAGCAAAATTTTATGAACCCTGTATGATATCTTTTTAAAGGCATAGAGGGATATATGATTTTCCTTACGCGGAAGGCATGCACCTTGTAGACTGGAATCGTTAAACGTTAATGCAAAGGCTGATCTGGCTCAAAATTATTCGGAAATTGGGGGACTGTTTCAAAACCAAAGTGTACACTTTTCCGGGTATAAGAGTGAAGAAAATGTGATTTTCTACCAAATATGTAAAAGAAAGCAAATTTTTTGTGCTTTTTTTCTATAAAATATGTTTGAATTTTTAAGACCATCTGATATCAATGGAAAAAATGTATGCTGCATAAGAAATTATTTTTACCGAGTGTGGTCTCAGTAGGAGGTCGATAAGAAATGCATTCAAAAACAGATAACCTGATGAGTACGAAATACTATTGGACTATGTCGCATGAGAATCAATCTTATAACCCCACTTATGTACTCCTTCCTAATCGGAAACGCACTATAAAATTTCGGCCATTTCGTGAGATCGGTCACTCACTGTATTCCCGTGTCTTATGCACAGGTCTTACATACATTCGAGGCACAAAATGTGGACAAAACGTATCTCCCAACAGAGACTTTAAATTAAGTGTTTACTTTTCAAGAATGTTTGCTGGGAGATTTTTCCTAATTCATTTATTCCTTTTTCATCTCGAAAATATCTCCTCAACCTTTCTTGTGAACAAATAGAAAGAGACGCTCATAAACTCTGTCTACGACTTATATTTTCAACTGACCCATTTGTGAAAAACTCGACGGCTTCTACATCTTGAGATGCAAAATTTAAATTTAATTTGTGGGCAAAGAGAACGTCTGAGAAAGGTTTTGAACTTGAAGGAATGAAAATACCTTACGACGTAAACACGGTAGGGTTTTACTGACAGACTTCTCTCTGATCATATTACGATATACACATGGAATTGAAGAGGCACCGCGGTTCTAATTTATTTCGATAATTTTGCACTGCACTAGCAATCACCGCGGCTAAACGGTCATCTACTCTCGTTAACTGGACGACGCGATCAGGTGACTATATGGCCCACGTGATCTCGGAACAACAAATTTGGCCGTTACATGCACTTTAACAAAGGTCAAGGTCAACAGGGCTCATAGTGTCATCGGATTTGAGGCTTGCAAATACTGCGTACGTAAGCGGAAATGATATTGACTGTTACAGACCTCATTCTTGGACGGAACAGCCTACCTTAGAGGCGCCAGTTCTTTGGTAAACAATTTCCGAGATTCTCGCAAACCACATCACGTGCGACGATCAATTTTCAAACTTAAGATCGCCATTTCGTACCGAGAGGCTCATAAACTGCATCATGTGAGCCGACCAGAGCCTTGGCATTTGACCGCTTGCCAAAGGTATGTGCTGATACACTTTCCCTCCAAGTTGTCAGTCGCATTACTTGAAGTCCCTCCGAAGCTGCGCATCACTCACAGAAAAGCCATCTACACCCGCTTTCTTGGCGTAGAATTAGCCTACTTGTGCACTACTGCTGACGCTCGATACAGCCAACTGCAAGCGGCCGTTCCCAGAAAGATGAATCGCATCGATTTCCGATAAAGAAATAAACATCGTTTTGCTCGAAAAGGTCCTGCACTTTTCACGGCTCACTCAAATATTTGGCCTGGGGCGGTCTATGTTTCGGTAATTCGCATTGATGAAATCATTTCAAAGCGCACAACGAAAAGTGACTTCTTAGGTGTTATGGAGTTACTCTTAACAAACATTCTACCTACAGTAATAGATTTCAGCTAGTGCAGTTGATAGTTAACATCCTCTTTAATACCAAAGGTTTTTCTAAACCGTTA